TGCTACATACTTGGTCAAGATACTTTGGGCGGGAGTGAATCTAATGCCTTAGCTGTAGGTGGATTGAGTGATGTGCCACATACTTGGTCAAGATACTTTGGGCGGGAGTAAATCTAATTTTAGTCTTTTGCCTTGGCTGTAGGTGGATTGAGTGGTGTGCTACATACTTGGCCAAGATACTTTGGGCGGAAGTAAATATAATTTTAATCTTTTGCCTTAGCTGTTGGTGGATTGAGTTGTGTGCTGCATACTTGGTTAAGATGCTTAGTGCGGGAGTGAATCTACTTATAGTCTTCTGCCAGAGCCTTTGGAGGATTGGATGTGTTGAATGTGCACTGATAGGCTGTGTTGTGTTTGAGAGATTCGAGGGTTGCCTCATAGAGTTGTCGCGTCCTTATATCAGATGCATGCAGGAGCTGCACCTGTAGGTCTGGGGACGTGTGTACAGGCACTTTTTATCCAAGGAATAGATCACCGTCAGTGGCATATGTACTCACATACGTTTTCTCCGTGCTAATAGAACAATACCTGATATATGCACATACACGCACACACACACACTAGACCTTATAATCTTTTAAACCCTAAACCCTTGCCCCTAAGCAGCCCCTGCCGTTCACCCACCGAGTGGTGCTGGCCGATGTCCGTGTGAGTTTGGAGCTGCGTGAAGGATTTGCGTTTGCGCAGAACTCGTCTGCCACGCCCACACACACACTCACCCCCACACAGATACACACCCCTGCTTACTCTAGTACACCCGCACAATCACAGCAACAGAGAAACTTAGTACAACACACAGATACACACACAAACACCTCAAAGTCGCCGTCTCTGGCCTCACCGCCGGTATCAACGAAAGCTCCGAGCGAGGGTGGCCGAGTGACTAGGTCTGAGGGGACGGACGATAAGGATACGAAGAGAAGGACTAGAGTAAGTAGCCCTACACACGGGCACACACATAGAGCCATACACATACAGAGCCCAGACGTAGATATATCACGGCCAGCGGAAGGGGTTGCCAGGGAAACGGTTGCTAGGGAGAAACTCAGCGACGAGAAAGCTCGTTCGAAATCGTCTCCAGCAGCATCGCCTGCGCCCGTACCCCGTACAAGCACAACGAGTAAACGTACGAGTACGTATTTGGACTCGGGTTCACACGAGGGTATCAGCAGTACCGGTACTAATTTAGAGAACGATGCTTATTCGGGTATTGGTGAGGAGGACAGGCCGCCGGTTTACGGAAACTCTGAGCCAATCACATTCTCTGCTGTGCCCGTTCCATCGCCCGCGTCCTACGAATCAATCACTTCTGCCGACGTACTGGGCTACGAACGTGCGGAGCTGGTATGTGTGTGTGGTCTATTTTTAGTTTGTTCTATTTTTAGTTTGTTGCTTGCTTATGTGCATGTGAGTATGTAGTATGTAGACGTAACTGGGGATTTCTTTCGGCAGAGCTTTAGTTGGAAACTATCTGGTGACACGCGAACCTATTTCTAGATTATATACCTACCCCTTCTGTTTTCTCCAGGTATCAGAGACAAGAAGAAATAACAATAACATGGTTGTTGTGAAAACATTCAACGGAGCACTGGATCTGAGGATATACACACCCGGTATGTCATGTCAATGTACATACGTATCCCTATATGAAAGTACATCTACATGGAAGTACATATATCTATCCTCTGATCTGCATGCTGATGTATAGTTCGCAACGAGGCTGGAGTTTTACCCAGATCAGGCACATACAGTGCTACTTCGTGACGTGACATGCCATGGCTACATTCAAAGCGTCCTGACCTAAATCTCATTTTCCGGGTACAGATTGTCCCAAAACGTTCCGACTGGTCGTCTCCTCCGACATCGAGATATTCGATCGAGTGGCCACCTCTCGGTGGAATAAAGTTATGTACTACTGGCAACGGGAGGCCAAGCCACGACCAGATGGTATGCACATATGTATTTGTATGTATATGTATATATATATATGTGTGTGTATGTGTGTGTGTGTGTGTGTGTGTGTGCATACGTACATATATATATATATATATATATAGTGTGTGTGTGTGTGTGTGTGTGTGTGTGTGTGTGTGTGTGT